ATCTAAGGGTATTTATATATAAGAGAAGAGGTTGGCAGGCTACTTAGGTGTTACCCTTTTTATTATCACTTGCACAGTCACAGATTTTTTTCATTTTTTACTTTTGTTTTTTTACTTAGTGTACATAAACGCTTATTTAAACATTTAATAAAGATTTATAATTTGTGTTTAACCACTTCACGACCGTTAACGGTTCAGGACAGTCAGCGTAAAAATCCACTTGAGGACCAGTGACGGTCCTGAACTGTCATAACGGTATTATGTACTTATCTGTATCCTATTATCCTGGTGTGGGGAGACTGCCTGACAGCCCAGGCAGTCTCCCCTTGGCGAATTAGGACCCCGTGACCATGTGATCGCTCAAAAGAGCGGTCCATGGCCAAAGTAGGGACTGCCTGTGCTGACAGCAAATCTCCCTGCATGTGTAAAATAAAACAAATAAAAATGTTAATAAAAATATAATTATATATGTACATAATCACACAAAAATAAATTCAGCGCGGAAGCAAAGTGCTAATAGTCCAAAAGCAGCTTGAACAACAATACGGAGTCTCTCTTTTCTGATAAAAAAAAAAACTGGATTAGTATAGGGGTGTGGGTGCAACGCTTCAGTAATCCTTGACAAGGTATATGTGAAGAGAACCAGATAAGAAATAATAGTGTAGTATTTAAAACTGTAGTGTTGATAAGTAAAATAAAAGATGTGCACTCACACTTTTCTGGAGCTTCAATACATCTCCAGTGTATGCGCCTGGGCGGAATAATCCCCACCTATATATCAAGTGCAGAGGAAATTCTTTGAGTTCTAGGTGTGGTAGGGGGTATTGTGTAATGGAGCCGTAAAAACTGGCCTCTTCTGATCCCACTCAAGGATACAGGTGTAAATATAAATTCTTCCGTCCGTGCATATGTGGAGATAAACAAACAGAACCACAATAGTGTACACCGTAAAAAGGAGTGTAAGTAGAAATAAAGTTAAACCTACTCACATGCTAAAGAGCAAGTTCTGGTTTGACCGAACCAAAGTGCTTGGGTGGTGATTTTCACAGTGAGAAGACGCCAGCGTCCATAGGAAAGCATTGTGAATGCTTTCCTATGGACTGGCTGAATGCACGCGCAGTTCCTGCCGCGCATGCGCATTCAGCCAAAGAGGAGGAGGAGGAGAGGAGGAGGAGAGGAGGAGGAGAGCTCCCCGCGCGGCGCTGGAAAAAGAGGTAAGTTTAACCCCTTCCTCCTCCCTTAGCGCCACAGGAGTGGGACCCTCAGGGCACTATAGTGCCAGGAAAATGAGGATGTTTTCCTGGCACTATAGTGGTTCTTTAAAGTCTACTGGTGTCGCACATCCCAATTATTAAATATGTATGATATGCACAAAATGGTTATAGCAGCCGTAATACTAAAGTACTATATACGATCACCTGGACATACAAATCACGATGGTATGCATATCAACATTAGCTGGAATGCACAAAAGTAACCTTTGGGATGCATACCACGCAATAAGAGCTGCGAGAAACAAAGGAGAACTTACATTACCACAACAGGTGATTGAAACAAGCACAAGTCCAATCAGAAGAAAGAAGATGCCCACTGGATCATTGATGAACACAGGGATTAGCCCTATTTAAGAGACTTGAGGGATGTGGTTGTTAGGCTGCTTTTTTGCTGTATTTGTAATTTTGTTATTGTTTTTATTATATGGTTCTGAGGAAGTCCTATATTTCAAGGACAAAACGCGTAGGACCGACCATACATTTATTATTTATTATACATTTAATTATGTACCGATTAAGCTGCTATTTTCCAACCTACCACCTAGAGTCATATAAAAAAACAAAAAAAAAAACACTTTTGATAAAGCCTATCTAAGGAGAAACGCTTTGTGTATTGTTTATAACTTTTTTTATAACTATTTTATTATATATTGTATTACTTTTATTCTTTTTTACCATTAAAGTACTCTTTTAATTGGACCTAATTTTGCTGCTGTTGGATTATTTGGAGCTATATCCCTGGTGGGGATCATACCACCCAAGCGCTTTGGTTCGAGCAAACCGGAATTTGCTCTTTAGCATGTGAGTAGGTTTAACTTTATTTCTACTTACACTCCTTTTTACGGTGTACACTATTGTGGTTCTGTTTGTTTATCTCCACATATGCACGGACAGAAGAATTTATATTTACACCTGTATCCTTGAGTGGGGATTAGTGATGTCGCGAACCCGAAATTTTCGGTTCGCGAACGGCGAACGCGAACTTCCGCAAATGTTCGCGAACCGGCGAACCGCCCGAAACGCCATTGACTTCAATGGGGAGGCGAATTTTAAAACACACAGGGACTCTTTCTGGCCACAATAGGGATGGAAAAGTTGTTTCAAGGGGACTAACACCTGGACTGTGGCATGCCGGAGGGGGATCCATGGCAAAACTCCCATGGAAAATTACACAGTTGATACAGAGTCTGGTTTTAATCCATAAAGGGCAGAAATCACCTAACATTCCTAAATCACAATCAATATGGATTGACACCTGACATATGACATATTGACACCTTGACATATGGATTGACACCTGTCCTCAGAGCCCCTGATGCACACGGACACAGAGCAGAATAGAGACTGCTCCCCTACATAGGGTCACTTGGCAGATATGGATTGACACCTGTCCTAAGGATCCCTGATACACACTGACACAGAGCAGAATAGGGACTGTTCCCCCTACATCGGGTCACTTGGCAGATATGGATTGACACCTGTCCTAAGGTTCCCTGGTACACACTGACACAGAGCAGAATAGGGACTGGTCCCCCTACATCGGGTCACTTGGCAGATATGGATTGACACCTTGTTACAAACTGCTATTTGTAACGGGCCCTTTAAATGGCAAATTGCCCTGCTTCCCTGGGTTGTGGAGAAGCCTACTTGCCAGCCTCCTCCCGCATGACTATGGCCCCTGGGAGATTGTGAAAATGTATGCACTTTTATTTGGTGTGTATGGCCCTTTAAGACTGTCGGTGGGCATATTGGGGCTTATGGACTCTTTATGTGACTGGTGCTGGCCCTTTAAACACCTTTTTTGGGACATCAGGAAGATTGGGACACTGCCCCTTTAAGGCCGTGTCCCCAGACTTGTTGGGGACACGGCCCCTTTAAGACGGTGTCCCCTGTGTCCCCAGACCTGGTGCAAACCCTTTGTGCCTGCCTTGCTATTTCCCCACTTGGTTCAGTAAATGGGAAATTATTTCAGCTGCAGAGACTAAGTCCCATTCGGCGATGGGACTTAGTCTTTTCTTCAGCCGTTTTTTTCAGCCTTATTTCAGCTGCAGAGACTAAGTCCCATTCGGCGATGGGACTTAGTCTTTTCTTCAGCCGTTTTTTTCAGCCTTATTTCAGCTGCAGAGACTAAGTCCCATTCGGCGATGGGACTTAGTCGTTTTTTCAGCCTGAAATAGACCGACCTCACAGCCCAAATCTATGGAACTGTTTTGGGCAGGAAAATGTGCTTGCGGTGGGTCATAAAGGGACCTCCAGCTAACTTTTTAACCCCTGGATGTATTTGGCTGATTTTTGGTTATGTTTATGTTTTAAGTGTGCTGATTCCAAATATGTAATTATGAAGATGGGATGTGTAGTTTTTAAGTTACAGGGTATGGCTAAAAACTGTATTTTTACTGCCTGTGTTTAATTATGTTAATCTCTTCCCAAACGTCATTTCGTTCAAAGTGGAGAGAATGTTAAAAAAATATATTTTTGTTCGGAGTGTGAGAAATACTTCTCAGCCGCTTCTAATCTTAAGCATCATTTGAGGAGCCATACAGGAGAGAAACCTTATTTGTGGTGTGTTTAGTATTGTTCTGATCAGTTTAATACCTTCCATGTCTCCTATCAGTGGACGTGTATATGGCAGCCATTTTAGGAACCGTACACCTGGGACCCGAGCAAGGTCACCTCGTTCAACAGGCGACAACATTTGTCCCTGGAAAACTATCTGGACATTCTGTACAATTTGTATGGATATGGCAGTGATTTCTGTAACAGGGAGATGGAAGAAGATGCTTGGTGGGTCCTCTTAATTCAAATTTGGGGCACTGCGCGGTCAAGCTAATGTGCCACCAGATAGGAGTGGTGTGTTTAGTATTGTTCTGATCAGTTTAATACCTTCCACGTCTCCTATCAGTGGTGGGTATTACCGCGGCATTGATTTTTTGTAACGAGGAGATGGAAGAAGAGCAGTGGGTCCTCTTGCAAATTTGGGGCACTCTT